GACGTTTAATACATCATAAAGTGATTTAGTCGCCATAAAGCGATTACGGGGTAATATTGATTCCAGCATCACTTTCGTCATCTACCTCGTTAATCATTGAAAGTGTCGCGACTTCGCGCTCGTGTCGCAATTAGCCCGATCGATCCCAAGTTCACAAGACACACGCTGTAATTTCTGTGAATTTACTGTAATTCTGTGTGTATATATTTAATAATCTCTACTATACACTCAATACTATCCAGTAGCCAACGAAGCTTACAGAGCTGTGTCGCTTTCAGTCTACGTATATTACTTATATATATATATATATATATATATATATATATATATATATAACTACATATACATATATACATTTTTTTCTATATATGTATATATATATATATATATACATATATATTAACACGTATTTGTCTATCTAATGTAGATATATCTCGCGAGAGTGTACACTCTATAACCCGTTAACGCGCTTGCGACAGTAGTTATCTGTCTTGTCTGTCGTAACTTGTTTCATTTCTCTCCTCTTTTACCTCTGATATACATCTCTCTGTCATCTCCTCTCTTTTTATCTATCTACTTCCATCTCTCCTTGGTTTTGCAATCTGTGCATTCAACGTGCAATTACTCTCTGTCGGCCGTCGTCTTACCAAAGTAGATACTGCCCCCGCTTTAATTTCGAGTCGTTGGCCGAAATGTATGCGTATGCGGTATATATTATTAGGAAAAAGTCTATATTTGATGATAATAATAATAATAATAATAATAATAATAATAATAATAATAATAATAATAATAATAATAATAATAACAATATACAAATATGAGAATCGAGTATCGAGAATTGAAAGACAAGAGCTCGATACGAGATGAATGAACGAGAAACGTGAGAGTGAAACGTCGCAAAGGAACTCCGCTCGGCGGCCAATCGCACTAATTGTCGATTAGCACGGCAAGAATAATTAACAGTGCGATCCCCTCTGCTGATATGTAATTATCGCCATCATTATCGTCAATGGCGTCTCGCCGCGCCATCGTTCTCTCGTCAATTCGCGTCTATTCGTCTGAAAACGAAAGCGTACGACGCTCAAGAGACGCATTAACAATGATCGTCGCGATTCTCTATTACTAGTTGTCAATGCTAATATTTTGTCAAGATAATTAGAAGAAAATTTATTCGAAAATTAGGATAAAATTTATTGGAATAAGCGCGGCCAAAAATTCTCCAATGAAATCGAAATTTTAATGCATTGCATCTCTCTCTTTTATTTTTAAATATTTTGCGGTTTCTTAAAAAAATTATTTCATCTGAAAAAGTAAATGTAAGGAGGTAGTTTAAGGTATTTAGTCTATTTATTTTCGCGTCTATTTGTTATTCGTGGAGAAATTTTTTTCCAAACCGTTAGAAAGTGGCGTCTCTTGTTCGTCGATATCTTTATCAAGCCGCTTCATTAAATCGTCTCATCGTCAATCGTCATTATTCTTAATGTTGTCGGCGTCGTATTCGTCATCGTTGTTATCTCTCTACTCTTTCTTTTTCACCTATAATTTCTAACGTAAGTAATAAATGCAGAAATCAGTTGCAATTAATGGTAAATTGTAATTGCGATTATCCCGAAGAAAGATTTTCAAGAATTACTTAAGGAGATTAATTTCTAACTAAATTGATCTAATCGATCAATTAAAAAATTAATTGATCTATTAGATCAATTTAGTTAGAAATTAATCTCCGACTTAAGTAATTCTTGAAATTATTATTCCGAAATTGAGCAAGATCCGAAAATACTCGAATGATTTGAATTAAAAAAATAATTTAGTTAAAACTAAATAATACTTATTAAATAATTTAGTTGATCGCAAATGTGATGATTGAAAATGCTAAACACTATGACAATTGCAGCTGATTTATGTCAAGAGTGAGCGAGCGATTATGACTGACATTGTTGCGATTTAGGATCATATATCTCAATAACATAATCGTGAGCTCTGAATCTTTGTCTCGTTTATTATCGTCTTTATTATTTTTTATTATTTTTAATATTATTGTTATTATTATTTTTATATTTTGTTATTACTATTTTATTAATTATTATATTTTATTCTTTGTTTTACTTTAATATATTATAATTTGTTCGGCACGTTTTGTCGAAGAACGCGATTTTCTAAATATTTTTTTTCATAGCAACAAGGTAATATTATCGATAAAAAATTGGGATAAATATAGAGAGTTAATTTTCATCCATGAGCTATTATCTCAAGGAAAATGTTTGCTTTCGCAAAATTGTCGCTTTTGAATCGACAGGACGTGCCCGCATTATTTTGTTGCTTTTTTGTCTGTGACTTTGTTCCGCAGTTAATTCTCACACCCATCTACTGAGAAAAACGATTCTTTCGTTTCCGTTAATATGTGGCTTGATGACCCTGTCGTAGACTGAGGAGATCGGAGCAAACACTCTGACGATGTTAGACCACCAAGGCGGTAAGCAGTTTCTCAGTAAACCAACAATAAGTCACTGTCTCTTTCTCTCTCTCTCTCTATTTCTATCTCTCTTTTGCGAAGAACGAGCGAGCGATGCGACAAGTTCGATATAATACATATTATAAGGAGGAAAGAAAAACGGATGAGAGGAAAAAAGGTGACAGAAGAGGGAAAATACGCGAAGCGAAGAACCAAGTAACACGTGCGCGCCCTTCGTTAGCCACGTCAATTTGCGTTTCCCTTCGTGGAAGGGCGCGCTCCCGATGCGTGATTACCAGAGTGCCGACAAAGGGCGTTTTTCAGCAAGCGACACAGAGGACACAGTGTAACACAGTGAATCATTTCATCCTTGCTTACATTCGGCAACGAACGAGGATGAAGCGATGCACTGTGCCGCTTGCTGAAAAACGTCCAAAAAATCATATAAAACGATAAATCGGCTACGAATGGTCGATCGAAATCATTTTCGCAAGAGTATTTGCTCTTAAATTATAAATAAATTGTGTGATTGTCAGAAAAATAATTTGATATATTACGATACCAATTAATACTTATATAAATCTAGAATCTCTTTTTTTTTATTTAATTATTTAATTGTATTTAATAAATAATTTTTGCAAAATGATAAATAGGTTATTATTCGAAAAATTTTAATCGAAGAAGAGATTCATAAAATTTTAATTTCTTTACTCATTCACTGATGGATATATTTTTTCGCGAATTAGAAGAAAAATTTATATTTTTAATTTGGTATCTTATGCGGAATATCATTGTTTGCATTTTTAATGATGTAATCGATATTTGATAATTCGATGACAAATCAGTGCCGACCATGCGAGTCGATTTTCGTTACTCTTCTTTGTCGAATGATCCATCCGCTGTTTCGGCTGTCATCTAGCAAATGATGGGAGATTCCGCGATGACGAGAACGATCCTCTCGCTAACGGATGTCTGGGTTGATTCATGACGATGATGTCGAGCCACTCGAACGACGATGACATTATCGCTCTTAGGCTCCTGTCGTGTTTAAAGCATCCGACGAAACTCCATTCGTTATCCCGATCTTGTTTCCCCCGATCCTTGATTCCGATATCCGATTCTGTATCTTTCAACGGCATGATGTTCTATCGATCTACTACGTGTATACGGGACATTTCTGTTGAGGGATGTCTCGTTTATCCTTTTACCTTTGACTATATTTGATTGTTTGTCTCTCTATCTTTTTTGCCTTCGCCACTTCCTTTCTAGCTTTGCTCTGCTCTGGTGTTCATTTACTTCTTCGGGATGCGTCACACATCAGGTGTGTGTCAATGTAATCATTCGCTCTCAGAAATATGAGATTCTTCATTTGTTTTCTTACGCAATCATTCGCATTCAGAAATGTGAGATTATTTATTTGAAAACAGATATGCGCTGTAAATTTATTCTAATTTAAACGAATCATCTACTTAAATTTAATGGAAATATAAATTTAAGGGGATTCTTTGTCTCTCTTTTTTTTTATATAACTTCCGTTTTAAAATTATATAAATAATAATTTTATGGTTTTTTTTATTAAAACAATTTTTATTTAAAATTTGAGAACTTGTCTCTAGCTTTGCATATTTTTCTCCGAATAATTTTCTTTTCGCATATCATAAAATCTTACTTATATAATAATAAAAAGTATTGTTATATAAGTATAGTATAATTTACGAAAATGTTTATTGTATTTATATAAATATCTGAATGCGAAAGATCATCAGCCTCGAGTTCATGAATCATAATCCTTGATACCGCGCAGATTTGTCCCGTTAATTTTATTTCAATATTTTTCACTTCCATATTTAATATAGTATCATTTTCACTTACCATTTATAACCGAAGTTTCCATCTATTCTCCGAAATTCACGAAGAAATAATTATAAGGAACGTGTGTTTAATGCTAATTCTCAATATTTCCCATCAATGCGTTCGAGTCATCAAGACTCACCCCGTCGTCATTTATTCATTTCCTTTGATGTATAATAAATTAAGTATTTTTACATTTTCATTCATCCAACGCCTTAAGAATTAATTGGAAAAGAGCAACAGGGTGAACCTCTTGGTTCTCTCATCATTTCCTACGATTCCTTCCTTCACAATCGTCATTACTGAACCACTTGCTGACGTCACATCGTCACATTTCCATCCGTCCATCCGTCCATCCGTCCATCCATTCATCCATCCCCTAATATGCATAATAGATTAATTAATTGAGGCTGAAAAAAAAATTCGTCGTCCGCGCCCTCTCGCCGCTCCGACATTCTCTCATCGTCCTCTCTCTTTGTCTCTCTTTTTCTGTCATTATCTTTCTCATATCTCTCCCGAACTTCGTTTCTGCCCGCGTTGATGCTGGCGAATATCACGGGGAGGGCCCCGGACCTTTTTTCTTTCCGGGGAGGGAAAGAAAACCGCGGAGCGAGGCGAGGGAGCGTCCTGACGGCGATGTAACTTTTCCTCAATGTTTAACACGCCGCTGATTGCCTGTCGGTTGCCTGTTTAGAGCCACGAGGTCGGGATGAAATCCCTCGTAATGCTGGACGAGCAAGGCGGTAAGCCACTTCCACTCTAGCCTCTAACATAAACAATAGACAGATCCCGTCGCGAAGAAGAAAGAGAAAAGATACTCGAAAGATACAAAAAGCGATTTCGCTCCCCGCAGCGACAACCGACGATACCAATATCAATTTTACAAATTGTACATACACATATATAAAAATATGTATATATACGTATATGGCATACCAGGGATAAGAATAGTACTCGTCCATCGCGCACAATTTTGTCGCTATAAATATTCGCGATCCCTCTTGTAAAATGTTTAAAATATAAATATTATAAATATGATAAAATATTTCAAATAATATAGAAATGAATAATTTATCCGAAGGGATGATTAATACGAATAATTAATTACTCCCGATTAATTCGACGCGGTTGTGTTTATTTATTTAAAAAAAAAAATCTCCTTTTTATTTTTACAATCACGAACCGATCTATAGCCGCAAGATGGAGAACAGGGCGCGCTCGAATACTTTTCTTATCCTTTTGAAAAATACGCGGCGATATTTCGCGAGAAAGAGTGATAACGCAATGCCGCCGGAAAGATGGACGGAAGTATAGTTTTCCTGCGCATCTTCCTTGGACCTGTTCATGTGTCATCGCTCGGAAATATTGCCGCGTATTTCGCACAGTGTCCCAAGAAAGGGGGAAGGGGGATCGGTAGCAGGACCCTCGATTCCAAAGTTCAGAAGTTGATTTCCCGACAATTTCATTTGCTTTTCGATTCATCGAAAAGCAATATTTCATCATCTGTGTTATCATATTCTATTATCTACTTTTCGATTTTTTTCTCTAACTTTTCTCTTCATTCTTGTTACATAATATCGATTAATTTTTTAGCTTCTCTTAAAGATCCTCGTTTTTTCTTGCAATTACGCATGCAAAGATAAATGCAAAGATAATAATTATAATCACCGACAATCGACGACAAAGATACGAGCCATCGAAAATCAGATAACAAGGGATAATAAATTTGCCGATGACAAAAAATGGGCCTCGCTATATCCGCGTTTTCCCCTTTTCCCGAGAGATAATATCGCGTGCACTATCAAAACACTACTACTTATTTAACAATCAGGGGCGTAGCTAATAGATCTTATGCTAGAAGAAGAAATCTCTCTCTTTCTCTCTCCCTCTCTCTCTCTCTCTCTCATGCAAAATAAATGCACATGAAAGAGTCTCAAAGAGACCCAGGAAAGCATCGCTTCATTCATATCCTATCGCTACGCCCCCGTTATTGAGAGATATATTATGTATACTATTTATAGCATGTATGTGTATGTACTTGTCTATGCATACACATGTACATACACATACCACTCGGCAACACTCGGCCATCGTTATACCGTTCACTTACATTTCGCTCTCAGCGCTCAAGCAATTTTTTTTCTCTTTCTTTTTCGGCTAACTCTGACTTTCTCGTGCTTTTTTGGTTCTCTTCCGCTCTCTTTCTTCAGCTTCCTCGAGCTTCGCCATTGCTCTGTGTCTGCATATTATACTACTTTCTCCTTCACACTACGTAACTGATACTGCTACGATACTTGCTACGATACTTACTTTCCGTCCTTCTTGTATTTCTCTCTTTCTCTATCTCGCCTTCTTCTTCCAGTCCTTTGAATCATTCTTATCCTCCGCTCCTTTTCTCCGCATCTTCGAGATTTTTACTCAAATTCCCTCAGGCTTCGTTCGCATCTGACGATTTTTCGTACACTGCAAAATTTTTCCTTGTGTTTATAAATTTTTATTGTAACTTAAAGTGTCTTTTCGATACTTAAAATAAGACAGATTTATACAGTTTCGAGAAAGGAAGAAATAAAACGAATGCAAAGAAATATAGAATTATAGATATCTTTAGATGAAATTACTTTGCATAAAAAAAAGCTGTTGATCAGATATCTAGGAAAATAATTAATTTAAAAAAAATATCTATAATAATAAATTGTTGCTTGTTAATTTTTTGATTCTGGGTGTTTTTAAAATTTTTTAACATTAAATTCATCTTCACAAATGTCAAGCATTAAATATATAATTAACAAAATTAGAGATAAAATAGTTAAAATGATTGACTTAGATTCTGTGATCGACATAATTTTTATTGGTAACGATGTAAAAAAGGATTCACTCGATATATGTAGATTAAAATTTCGATGTCATTTGATTTTCTCGGCGAGAAATCGTGCGGTGCGAATCTTTACAGAAAAACAGAGGAAAACAAGACAAAAGCGGACAACAGACGTGATCGAGATTTTACGACTTTTACATTTATCCGATCGCAAACATCCCTCACGGTGTTTTTCGTCTTCGAAATAAAAGTCGGTAGGATACTAAACAGCCGCGAATCCAGCCTCCGCTTTTTAGCCAAATACATATACTGATCGGACACCCGTTACATGTTACAACGATGTCTACATGTATTATTAGCCGAACACGAGTACTTATTCACCCGGGCTTGTATACTTTTAGGCAAACTTCGTATACCGTAGTTAAACCTTTAAGTATAACGTAGATACAGAGTGTCTCGAAATAGTTTTTCATCAAATGTGTTTGACTATTTTGGACTTTCTCGATTCGCCTTCAATATAATTTATCCAGTAATATATTTATCTTTTATTCAGTTTATCCAGTAATATATTTATCTATCGGAATAAAATTTAACAAATTAAGTTTCAGATAATATAAATAGTTTGCAGGTAAAATTTTACGTAAACTTTACCCATAAGAAACTGTAATTTAAGGTAAAAAAATTGTATTAAATTTTTGTCGTTTTTCTAAGTCTCAAGAAAGTATGATAAGAGCTACTTCGGGATATCCTGTACACTTAGTCTAGAAAATTTCACCACCCACCGTGAGAAACCAACCCGCTGTACATATTCAGTAGGCACATAACAGAACAAAATCACCCGATGCAGGAACGTCGAGCAAAGAGGAAACTCTTCGCTTAACTGCCGCGCTTTCGTTGCACTTTATTTTGTGCAGGCTCGGAGGTTCCATTGAGCGGATGCTTCTCTTTTTGTAGGATAGACCTTTATTCCAGTGATCTCGAAAAACATTGCTTCCCATACCTTTTATTGTTTTATCTCGATTCTGAGTGCAGAAGAAAAAAATAGATTTTTTAATAATAATTTACACAAAATTATTTGTTATTATTTAGGAAAATGCAATTATCAAAAAAATTATCAAATCATTCATTGTTTTTGATTTTGCAATAATAAAATTTCCACGTTGTTAACAATTCTCTTTGATAATTGAACAAAATATATTTGATAGAATCTATAAATTATTGACTTTATAATTAGAAAAGATTACACGATTTTATATCCATTCTTCTATTTTTTATTATTTTTTCTCGATTCCAAGTATAGAAAAAGAGATTGATTTTCTTACAATAATTTACACAAAATTATTTATTATTATTTAGAAAAATGAAATTATCAAAAATATTAAATTTAAATTATTCATTATTTTTGATTTTGCGATAATAAAACTTCCACGTTGTTAAAAATTCTCCCTAATAAATGAACAAAATATATTTGATAGAATCTATAAATTATTGATTTTATAAACGATTACACGATTTTATATCAATTCTTCTATATTTATTATCGTTAATTTATATATATTTATTAATTGAACATCTATACAAATAAATGATTCGATTTCTTATTCATTGAGAATAAAGAATTCTGTAAAAAAGACAAGAAATCTTCACCCGCTCGATTGATCCTTCGAGGTAGACTATAAAATCGAACGCAGTCGCTTGAAAGGAAAGGGTAAAGGGCGTCCGCATCGATAAATGTCTGTGCAAGATCCAAGAGTATAATCATACTTGCGGAAATTTTCTCTTGAATTTTTGCGCGGAACACGAGACTCTCGATTTTGTGATCCGGGATATGAGCAGCGTTTACGCGGAAATGAAACGAGAGAGACGGGCGGAAATTTGGTAAATTAAAAAATGGGGCGCCCCTTTCCTTTGGGTGAGGGTTTTACACGAACCGTCGCTTATCTTTCTTTCTCTCTCACTCTCTCTTTCTCTCTCTACAGGAGATTAAATTAGCGAAAGAGGATTGGGCAATGCACATTCAGCGCTTTCGTTTGCCTTTTTAATCGGCGACTGCTTGATTACATCACGTTGTTCGTTCCCGATAGTTTCAAGTTGGTACAGCTGTACGTGTCGGAGCTTTAACTCTTCGCGATGGCTTTTCGTTTCGTGAACAATACGTCGTGACACAAAAAAATCTAAAACCGGCCTAACGACAAAGATTAAAGCAAACGAGGCTAAATTGGCGAAGCCTATAAATAATTAATTAAGAGATTAAAATAAATAATTAAATAAGGAGATTAGAATCAAGATTTCCACCGCGCAAAGGGTTAAAGCTGTTTCAACTTTTAGAGAAGCTTGATTACACACACATCACGTGAAACATCAATCGACGGAGTGTCGTAGGCACTTTTCTAGATCGGACTTAGTTTAGTTTCGCTTTTAGCATTCGCTACGGCTCCCAATTAGAGGTAACGATCTTTCTCGCGTGGTTGCCCTTTCCCCTTCGAGTCTTCGCGACTGAGAGTCGTTTTATCGGCTGACTAACGTTTTATTCCTTGTACCGCAAAACAGAACAGCTGGATCGAATCGAGGAGGGCATGGACCAGATTAACGCCGACATGAGAGAGGCCGAGAAGAATCTTACCGGAATGGAAAAGTGCTGCGGCCTTTGCGTTCTTCCCTGTAACAAGTATGACATGACTTAGTTATCCCTCGTCTCTCTTTTTTTACATATATTTATCACTCTTTCTTTCTGGAAAAAAATATCAGAAAAGTGCTCTGCACACTTTACTGGCTTTCTCGTCAGGTTTATTAATAATCTACACGATTTTCCGATCGTACATGAGCTAAGAAATAAATTTAAAAGATAATTCTAGTAATTGAAGAAATAAAAGAATAATGAAGATTAAAAAGTAGTAAAAAATTAAATTTAAATTAAAAAAAAATGTCTGTGAAAAAAAATATCTATCGATATGAAATTATCGTTTATAAGCTTCGAACTTTGGTGATTTCTGTATCAAAGTTGACAAATATTTACAAAAATTGCGAGGTGAAATTGACGTGATATTGAGAAAAATTTAATAATTGGCAATGCAAATTGCAAGTTTACATAAATTAACGCGGAATATTATATTAAATTCGCGCGAAACGTTAGCCGACAAAATTCCCTGAGGTAGACCCGAACTTAATCGCGTCGCTCGCGATCTTGTGCGCGCAGAGGCGCCAGTTTTAAGGAGGACGAGGGCACGTGGAAGGGCAACGACGACGGCAAGGTCGTGAACAACCAGCCCCAGCGGGTGATGGACGACCGCAACGGCATCGGGCCCCAGAGCGGCTACATCGCCAAGATCACGAACGATGCGCGGGAGGGGGAGATGGAGGAGAACATGGGCCAGGTGAACACGATGATCGGCAACCTGAGGAACATGGCGATCGACATGGGCAGCGAGCTCGAGAATCAGAACCGGCAGATCGACAGGATTAATCGCAAGGTGAGTGGGAATGCACCATCATCACCACCGGTCCATGCTGCACACCGTAATTGCCGAGCGACTTGGCATGGCTATAAAAGGTACTCCTGTCCAGCTATTGTCTCCTCTCCTCTCGTGGCAAAGTAAAGAGAAATTACGAGGAGATGTTTTTACGAAGAAATTTTAATAATAAAATATAAATAATAAATATCTTAGATAGCTTTTCAAGAAATTCTATTCTCACTTTTTCTGAAGAGAATAGGGAGAATTTCCACGTTTTCCAGCTGGACAAGAGTCTAAAGAAATTATTTGGATAATTTGCGCTCATCGACATAATGGATTAAGTCTTTAGTCGAGGAAACGAGATATCTTAAAACTCAAAGAATTTGAAATAAGAGTGTAATATTTGAATGCAGTCTTTCTTTACTTTTGATAAAAATAATTATCGGAGTAATTATCAGATTATCTGAAATAATAAATTTGCAAAGATTACAGAGGGCAAAATTATCTCTCTTGATTACATTATTATATCATGTCACAAGGAACCTTTTGTCTTTCAGTTTGTGAATGTCAAATAATTTAACAGATTGATGCTTAATTGAACAAGACTATCGGGTGAAACTTTAAATCGGTCAATTTATAATATCAAGCGATAGTCTTTGTGATGTAATTCAATATGTCGATGAGGTTATTTAAGTCCAGTACACATCTGCCAATAACACCATCAGCAAACATCGAGCAATTTAATCAAGCAATTATTTTAAAGAATCTTGATTAAAATAAATTAATGTAAACAAATTAAAAATTTTTGAGATTCGAATATAAAAATTGAAAAATAGAAGGAAAATAAAAATTCCTTGGTGGGTCCTTGTAAATTTGAATTGCAAAAGTGTTTTTTCAAGCTTTAGCTCTTCAGTTCCTTAAATCAAAGTTTAACAAACTTGAGAAATTTTTCATGCTTTCACAATGTAATTAAATTCTAGCCTACTTTTTTGATATCTCTAATTAAATTTTAATATTGAATTTTCCACGAAGAAAATTAAATCTTAATTTAATAGTTAATTATTTAATTCCTTAAATTATATTCCTTAAATATATATATTTAATTAATTAAAATTTTATTATTTTAATTTAATTCCCTAAATATATATATTGGACATATATAGAAATTTAATTAATTGCATCTAATATTACGATCTATATTTGCATATGTTTACTGGACTATATATTACACGGGATAAGCTGATGAACATGTGTCTCGATATAATCTCTATGTCACAATGCACAGGCTCAGAGCGATGCACATCACGTTCGTCGTTGCTTTCGCTTTTTTTTATGTCCATCCGCCTTCCCTTTTTTCCTTCCTCTCTCTTTGTCCCTCCTATCCTTGTATATCACGTGATCCTAATTCGGGCAGGTGTTTCAACAACGCTCATCGTCGTCGTTCGCGTCTTTTTTCATTTCTCCCTCGAGGGTTTAAAAAAACAATGTTTAAAAAACAGAGCGACATGCATCATTTTTAATAATAAGCCAAAGAAATCTTTTGATTTGCAATTTCGGGATAAACTTTAATCCTAAACAATATAACACACGATACAGTGTCAAAGACATAAATAAAATTAAAATCCTTTGTTCCTAGCTGCGAATATAATAAAATCATATTTGTCGCTAACACGATACACAAAAAACAATTAGCGTATTCTTTTAATCGTATATCGTTTGGTTATCCAGAAATTTTTTCTAACGCAATTTTATTCACTTTGTTTAATTACATCAGAAATGCAGCGACAAATTTGTAAGGTTTTTTCTCCCCTCTCTTACGATTTTCTTGTTTAAGATTAAAGTTTCAAGATGGCGAGTCTCGAAATTACGGCTTACAAAAGTGCGATACTTTACTATCGGTGTCCCAGAGGAAAAACGATCCTAGCAATTTCCGTTTCAACGCATGCTTACGCAAGCGCATCGCACGATTTTAGCCGCCATGATCCGCCTCGTCTTAGACGTCGCCCTTTTTTCTACGGCACCTTTTCGATAGATTCTGCGGGCACACTTTATTCCTCGGTTATCCTCTCGGTATAGCCTGCCTTCTATGTTCAAATATTGCACCACCTCTATCTCTTTCTATCTCTTTTTCATGAGATTTTCTCAAAACTATGGTATTTTTATGGTGGATTCTCATGCAAGAGAAATTCCTGACAGAAAACTAAAAATAGAAACTCTTTTTTTATATTGTATTAATTAATCAAGTAATAATTTAAACATAAAGAACTGGAAAATATTAATTTATTCAATTATTGAATTAGATTTCTGTTATTAAAATTGAAATAATATTCACATTAGAGAAAGTAGAAGTACATGTCTCTTATAAATAAACAGTAAAATATAGCAAGTTATAAATTTATTATTTTTTAACTACATCATGATAATTTATTACGTATCCTTTTCTTCAAATAAAAACGCTTGAGAATCCGCGCACTCTCACTTTTGAATTTTTATCATAGCCCTCTGTAGCAGGTCCTAGACAAAAGAGAGGCAGAATTCTCTGACTATAAAACGCTCCTCAAACGATCAATACATATTCATAATACATATTCATAATATTAAATACAGTAACGATACCTCAATAATTATCTGTCACTATTTATTGCAACGCGTCATTATTGAATTCCCGATCGATTTTATTTCTCGCATTATAACTCGCATTTGCCGTATATACGACATTTACAGCGTTTGCATTAACCCGAATTAAACGCGCAACTCAATAATCGATATTTTATGCATCGACATTTACCTTCCAACCTCTGATATTTATTGAGATTAAATTTATATTTCCTCTCGTCGAGAGGAACTCATTTTTCTTCTTCTTCTTCCATCTCATTTTTCTTATTATTAGATTCTTTGTTATGTGTTATTCTTTCCTTCGATTGTTTCCAACGCTTTCGGTATTGAATGTTGGATTTTTTCTCACTGGCACAGTATTTTCCTTTCGATAACCATTATATCGATATCGACGATAAATATTGATCGTTTGAGGATCATTAGTCCTTTAAAAATCATATTTGAAAACTTCAACATAATTTCGAATATTCTAAATTATTTTATTTGGATCCTGATCTGCTTTTTTCGCGAAAAAAAGAATCTGTATAATTTATATATTAATCGAATAAAAATCTGTGTTCTATAAAAATATGATTATGATTTTTAATGGGTCACAGTGGTGTACAATCTCGAACAGTCCATCACGATTAATCAGTCGAAAAATTATAAACAAATGTAGAAAAGAAAGAGTTTTATTAATCACAGTCATTTTATTAATTACAGCCAAAAAATTTTCTATAATTTTACTGAATTTAAAATTATTTTTAAAATTATTTTTACTTAATTTAAAATTAGTTTTACAATTATTTCTTTAATTTAAAATCATTTTTAAAATTATTTTTACTTAATTTAAAATTATATTTAAAATTATTTTTACTTAATTTAAAATTATTTATTATTAAATTCTCAATTTCTTTTCAAAAATACAAGCTCAATCTTATTATATAATATTAATTATATCGTATTGAGACCGCTTAGCACAATAATCTGCTATAGGATCTGAATCCGATAATCTGGTCCTATATAACGAAAAGAGTTAAACCTCGTGCGAAAACCGCAAGACTCGAGAGATTGTGCATTACACCGGTGAACGAAGCCGCATTAAACATACATAGGTACACGTACATGCACGCACATCCACTCGCAACCACGCCGCACATCTCTATGACCGAAACCCAAACTGATAATCCGCAGGGCGAGTCGAACGAAACGAGGATAGCCGTGGCGAACCAACGTGCGCACGCCCTGCTCAAGTAAAATGCGTCTCTTCTCTCTGTCTCCACGTATCCGCCTCCTCCGAGCCCCAAGTTGCATATCACGATGAGATGTCGTCTCGAACGAAAGAAAAAAAAAAAGAAGGGAAAAATTATACATATTGTGTACTATACATATTTAGAGACCTGACACACACGATCATGGGACTGGGATTATTCTGGATGCGAGGGAGGGAAGGGGGAGCGAAATTGTTATAAATATCAAATTGAGCATTTAAATTAAAGAAAGATACGCGTAATTTAATTGCTACAAATTACATTGTTCGAAATTATTCAATAATATTAATTGTGTTAAATGTGTTAATTATATCTCCAACACGAATTATTGCGTGTTACCATTTGAAAATTATGACGCGATGTTACCTCCAAATGTAATATTCATTTATGAAAATGATCGAGATGCACGAATGGTTCGAGTTTTATTCGAATATATAACGTTTACAGTCGCTGAAACGTTAAAATGTCAGATTGCACGAATATTCCCAGTTCTGCAAATAATCTCCCCTGTCCCCCAACCATCTCCCCTTCTGCTGTCTTCTTGTCGTCGCTCGGATACCAATCCCGCGTGTTGTCTCCACAATCCGATCTGCAAAAACAACCTGTGCAACAACGAAAAAAAAAATTATCGCTATCAATAATCACGCCACTTCTACTAGTCATTACTACTAGTCATTACCAGGCTTTTGTCAAGATACAACGACGATATACAGTGAATATCCGCTCGATAATCATGGTATACAATGCTTTCGGAAGAAAATGCTCTACTTGAGATGTTTAAAGCGCGAGATCGCGTAATAAAATTATCATCTTTATCTACATTTTTGAAAGTCTTATAAATTTGCGACAAATCTTTCCATTCAATTATAAAAAATATTAATGATGATACCTCCATTTTAACGAAAAAGACAAACCCAAATTTGTCATTAGAATTAAGACTGGGAATCATGGAACATTTTTTATTTTACGTCAGTCATTTTCTAAAAATAGGAATAATTTGTATTTTGCAAACGGTATTCAATCTATTAATAACAGATAAACGGATCTAAAAGATTTAATCTCTCTCTCGATGGATGTATTTTACATCGAAAGACAAGGAAAGCTGATGAGTTAGACCAAGACTATCGAGCGGTGGAGCATCGCACTGAGATCAGTGTCATCTCACTCTCGTACACACGTTGTCACAATGTTGCCGCTCGTCACATGTTGTCATCCTCGTTGTGATTGTGCCATGAATGAGCGTCGCCATTGACGATGTCGACGAGGAATTGCCTCTCGTTGATCCCTTTGAACCCTGTGTTCGAGCCGTTCTCGACGCTTTCGCCCCGACGCTCCCTGACGAGGTCGATCGGGTTAACACGCTTGACACGAAGAGCAGCGTGCGAATTTCGGAAAAAAAGTGTGATCGTGTCGAACTTAATTATCACGATCACTGTCACAAGATTTGAGAAATTTTCGTTTCGAGATTTTCGTGGAAAACCATAGTTTTTTGAAAATCACAAGGAGCGAATCTACTGTTCCAGCGAGGTAGTTCGTAAAAAATGTAATTATATTAATTAAAAATGTATTATTTTAAAATTACATTTTTACAGTAAATAAAATTAATGGTCTCATGATTGAAAAGGCTATTCAAGTCGATTCTTTTCGGAAATCTTGGACGACTCTTTCTCAACAAGCCATATCTGCGATACCCTAGAGTCCGCGGGAATGGTGACATTTTTTTAACAAGCCCCGACAAATCCACGATTTACACCGACCGGTCCTCGACAGCTCGCGTATACGACATTGCGTTTTTGTTTTTCTTGTTCTCTGACACGCAGGGCGAGTCGAACGAGACGAGGATACAGGTGGCCAACGAGCGAGCCCATCAGCTACTCAAGTAAGCGGCCGTACTCTCAGACCACCCCCGTCAGCCGCCACGAGCATCACTACCATCACCCTCCACTACCACCACCGACAGCAACAACAACAACAACAACAACAACAATACAAGAACAACACCGACACCACCAACAATCAGCACAATTTACACTCGACAGTCCACTCGATTGTTTGCAAGTTTATCTTATTCGCATTTCGTTCGTTGCCTCTTCATTCGCGTCCAAGAGAAACATCAAGCTAGACGAAAAGAAGCTTAAGAAATATACTTAACGTTGCCGAAATACTTAACCCTAAACTTGACTGAGTAAATCCTGCAGGAAAATACGTAATTCTATTTCTTTTTGTTAATCGGAAGTGCTTTTTTTTTACCTTAATTTTAAAATGAGAATCGTGTGGATTGTACGCACCAGAGATGATGTTTAAATGTATCGTTGTCATGTCAAATGAACTTTTGATCTTTTCGATCATTTTTATTTGTGTTCCTTCGGAGGTGTATCTTTTTAATTGCGACTCGCTTTACAAACGATGCAGCTCAGGAAAATCTTATGTAAAAAATAAACGCTGAATTTGTTGTCACATTGACGAGTACTATTGTGTGTGTTTCCTTCGAATTCATATTTCTTTCAGTTTTACTTCCTTTTATTTCTGCTGCAAGTTTAGGGTTAACGCGTGAGATTGCAAATGTCGCGAGATCGAGTCACAGATTTGGAGATTAAATTTGATTTGTGGGTTGAAATTCGATGATCACAGTCAAATTTGTTTCCTAATTTAACGTGCGCGAAAAATCCGATGCACTTTTCGACCGAAGACACGCTTGTTAACCATAAATGAAATTTAATCTCCGGGCTCTTTGATTTTTTTTTACGATAGCGACGATTAATCCGCCGAGGAAGCCTCGAAGATTTGGAGCCTCGAGGCCGATTAAAAATCGGCGATTATATAAAGTCGAGCATTAAAATATAGAATTTAAGACCAGCAGCGCTTCATTGTACCGATCACAACAAAGTGCCGATGGAATTTTTCTCTAGCGTGACAGAAATGTCGAGTATCGTATAGTTTAAAAAAGTGGAGCTGTGAAATTTAATCTCCGGTTTAAAAGCGAGCAGCTTCGTTCTTTGTCGACAAGATTAACGTTAACTTTAACGTAAAATTTAAATTAGAAGAAAAAAAAATATATATATATATATATCTCGTTAGTTACACATATATATATGTACACGTACACGTATTGGAGATTAAGTGCGCACGACCAGTGCAACGATTAATCAATTTTCCTCTTCGATTCAATCGATTCTGGAGCGGGATTATATCGAAAAGGCGGGAGGAGAGGAAGGAACAGTGTCACAGTACAAAACTCATCACACTTATCTCCCTCTTTGACGAGAAAATTCTTAATACTCTTGTACACGTAAGCTCTTTATTTATTATCTCGTTATATATTTATCGCTCTCCAATTATAAATTGCGCTAGAGAGAGCTGTATTCAACGATAGCTGATATTTTATCTATTACGCACGCGAGAAGAGCGACATATTAATCTCCCTCTCTTGAATTCCCCCGAGTTCTCCCCGCGAAGGACCTCATTGTTTTCCTTTCTCTTCCATGGCAAAAAAAAGAAAGAAGATCGATTACACACGCACACATGTACACACACAACCCCCGAGCTCAATCTCGAGAAATCTCGAAAGCGTTTCGGAATCTATCGGGTGTCCCATCTGGATCCGCGCGCGAGGAGGGCGCAAGGAGAAAGATCGGTGACACTTGGAGGAGGAAGGGAGTGGAATCGCGTGCGGAGGACGAAGGAGCACGAGCGCAGGACGAGGAAGAGAAGGTAGAAGAAGAAGATGAAGAAGAATATCGAGACATAACCGAAGCAACGAAGAGAACGCGTTCAGCCATACACGATTAATAGGAGTCGCTAAAGCTGTAGATAGAGCGAGGTCTTCTTTTTTCGTCGTTTTTAAAAAAAACTCAATTCACAATTCGACAAATGTAGAGCGTAGGTGTTATCCCCCTTGTCCCCGCCTCCCCACCCACGCCCCTCCCCAATTCTACCCTTTTGCGCCAATCGCGCCGAGATCACAGTAAGGTTTAACTCCAAAAAACGAAAGATTGTACATTACTGTATTTACACGAGGGCGACGTACCTACCTTGTTAAATCGTACGACGAGGAGAGGAGGAGAAGAAGCCTGCTGCGGCTCGAGAGCCGATATCCGCGATCGTCTTGTAGCGACCTTGAATTATCCCGTCGTGATCCTGACGAATCTTTATTACAGACCAAGGACAATTCTTAAAAGGTTCTTACGTAGCGTTCTTGTTATTGACTTGAATTTAATGAATGTACGCCTCCAGGGAGGCTTGAGGTTTCTGGACAATTTTGTAAATTACTAATCCCCTAATTCACCGTAAACTAGCAGTCTTAGTTCAGAGTTGCACCCTCGTGGCCCTTATAGCACGGTTTTACGCTATTCTCTTTAGCTGTTGGAAATGCAAAGGGGATCGATTTATCGCTCAATAATTATTAATCAACATAAGCGGTTTTTTTTTCAACGATGTCTCTATTTTCGAAGGGAATGATAAGTCGTAGAAACGGATATCGATCTCTCTCGAGCGGCGCGGCCAGTAAAGATTGAGCACAAATAACTACGTAGCCTTTTCGATTTTGCTTGTCCTTTGCTTTCTCTCGAAAAAGGAAGAAAAATGCCCTTTGAACGTTTCGCCGGACGAACATGTGTTTTAAAAGGAGTGAAAGGGTTCGCGAAAGTTTGAAAGAAAGAGAGAGAGAGAGAGAGAGAGCGAAATATAAAATCCGAATGTGTGTATGTGAGAGAAAGAAAGAGAGAGAGAGAGAGAGGGAGAGATTGTACCACGACGTGAGATCATTAGGCCTATAGTGATCACTTATGTCGAGAAAAATTATAAATACTTCTAAATAGATGACGTATATACACACAGGGGTGTCTCATTTCTATCTTATTCCATTAATGACAGATTCTCTGGTCAATTTGAAATGGATTTTTCCTCGACGCGAAAGCATCAAGACACCGATGGAGCTTTCGAATAATTATATTGTAATTATATTCTTCGATTAATTTAATTTATTACAAAAATATTAAATGTTAGGAATGTCGCGAATGATCCGAAAAATCTCAATTTTCGAGGAAAAATCGATTCCGAGTCGGGCAGCAGAAATCTATCTAGCTTAACAAATAACGCGGTTCCAAAAACGAAACGGCCGCTTACATACGTCATTTATTTGCATACATATTATTTTTTTTTTTTTTTTATATACATAATAGCCGTGTAGAGCGCGAGCGCGGTGAGCCCTTTCTTAAATTAGCTCCTGGTAGACGAGAGTCGAGTGTCGCAAAAAGGTTACTCTAATCGAGCGAGAGAGTGAGAGAGAGAGAAAGAGTATCTTTATTACATATTATATATATATATAAATATTATAAATAAACAAACGAGTACATATAGATATAAATATATATATATACGTATAAATATATAAATACGGGATCGAGCAATATTGTACTTGTTACTTCGTCGTTACTGTTTATCACCGCGTATTGCGAGACTACGTACTTATTTTACGAGTATTATCCATCCTACTTGGGATCCCCCATACTTTAGCCCTCTCCCGACTCCCTTTCCCCTCCCCCTTACCCCTTCCCCACCCCCCCGAACGATTAAGTCATATCGAATCTACAGGTCTATGTGGTAACGCGTACATTTTAAACATTCCACTCCTACACACACACATACACATACGTGCAGAGATAATGTATAGACAGGCAATTAAGTAAATAAGTAGGTAGACGAGAGACACACACGATAATTTAAAAAAAACTAACGGAAGGAGAGGAGGACGAGGTAAGAAAGAGTGCGTATGTTTGTACATGTGAGAGAACGGATCGCGCGAACGAGAGAATAATAATGAGGGGGGGGCGAGAGTAACGATGTGCGAGTGCATGAAGAGTGGAAAAAATCCAGAAGTTACGTAATAAAAAAAAAATTACCGCTCTTTGTAAAGGGATACAGGGGTGTTCCTGGGGCTGCCGGAAACGTCCTTGCAGCGATTGGAGCCAAATTGAAGCAAAAGCGGCGAGAGAGCGTTTGTTTCAAGATGCAACTTTGCACTTTGAGCTATCCTTGACATCTCTTTCTCTCTCTCTCTCTCTCCTCTCTCTCTCTCTCTCTCTCTGAAATTGTTTAATTTTTTGATCGAAATCTTCCGATACATCTTCGAAGGAGTAAAATAAGACGGAAGAATTTATGAATCCAATTAATATCAGTCACAGATTTAATTGTCTTCATTAATCAAACACTTTCTTTCCGCTTCTACTTTAAATAATAAATGAAAAATAATATTTTCTTATCATCTTAAAAAATACATTCAAGAGACATATTTTTAACAAGGTGTCTCTCCCAGAGAATTTGTATTATCTTGCAAAGAATTCTCGTGGAATTTTATCGAGTCTCAGGGAATTTTTTTAAAATTTATCCTAAAAGAAAGAGCAAAAACTTTGTTCTCATATTGCGAACATTCAGCAATCTATCAATCATCCATCATAGCAATCAATCAATAGCATATACATACATTCGCGTGTACTCGCAAATTTATATATCTTCCTTATAATTCTTAATAATAAAAGATGCAATGCAAATGCTTTGCAGAAAAATTTTATTTTTCAATTTCAAATTTTCGCTTCAATTTTCGAACTATTCAATATACAATAAATAAGCTCACTTCAAAGTTGCATCTAAAATCTCTCTTAATTTTATTTGGAAGTTCGAACACGAGTACTTGGAAAATCAGAAAATTTTCGGGGGTTCTTTTTACAAGATCCGAGTAGATATTCTGTTTAATAAGAATTATCGAATCAATGATACATAGACGATATTGCTTGTCGATTTGGCGTTAGAGAGAGATCTTTGTAGCTGGAACATTCGTCGACAGATCCAGGAATACTCTGTACACGAATATGGAATAATTCCATACCTCCTAAGCGACAATTGTACCTCGATGTTTACGTTTATAGCGGAGATCGAAAGAGCTCCAGTGGAACTGCCGGCAATGTGATACGCGGCCTCGATTTGCGACTAGAGGCGTAAAACTTTTGGGAATCGACGCGGTGGCACGAGATCGAATTGAATTTCTATTTCCGATCAATTTTAAAATTAAATTTGATCGCACACAATATTCTTTATCATACATTATACATACGTAATTACGTTTCCCTTTTTAATATCGCATTAGAATCGATGATCTTAAAATATCTTTAAGTAAAAAGTAGTAGCTTTTACGTCAAGAGATCCATTCTTTGTGATCCTTGATCTTAAAGAATTCCTAGACAATTACAATCGATCTAAAGATTCTAAAGTATGTCGACATTGGAACTCGTTCCGTCGATCGGTTCCTACTTCGGAGAAACGAGGTGCGAGGTGTCACCTCTTCGTGTACTTAGCGCGAGTGCGAGAGACAAATATACTTGGGACCACCGTGCAAAGACGTGCAAGGTGTCGTCTTCGAGGCACTCGAACTAATCCGAATAATAGAACGAAGGCGACGAATAAAACTGGCGAGAAATGATACGAGAACGAGGAGATCGCGTGTAAGGAAAATGTTACACATTTGTAAACTGTAAAGTTATTGATTTAAATAAGAGAGCAGGGAAAAGAGACGGGACGAGACCAGCTTCTCTCTCTTTTTAGTACCGATTATAATGTCGCTAGATGTATTTACGATACCGTCGTAAAAAACCGGGAAAACAATTCTCTCCTCGGCGGTATCATTATAACACAAATGCCTGTGTATTTTACTTCTTGGCAAATAATAAACCATCAAATATTGTATGTCGCTCACGACAAATTTTTCCTCGAGATCCGTCATATTTTTTTTTCAAGTAGATAGTTTATACGAATTTGAATGTCCTCTGAAAAAATTAAATGAACCATTTTATAATTAAATTTACAAAATCAAAAATTCAAATTTAATAATCTATGTTATTAAAAATTCAATTAAAGATCTACGATATCAAGATGTTAAAATCATGAATTTATGCTATCAAAAATTATAAGAATGGAATAAGATTTTTTTTTCAATGGAATAAGATTTTTTTTATGAATTAAAATTTCTATATATTTGTAGTATAATAAATCAAATTCTTATAAATCTTTTATCCTCTATGCAATCAAATTGTTTAGTTCGAAAGTGGCAAAAATTAATTTGCATAAAATGTAGATTTGAGCAAATTTATACGTTGATGTAAATATTTAAAACATTAATTACTTTCTAAAGCGATTTAACTAGATGCTGCATATACAAAAGATAAACTGCTACCGGCCGATTCGTCTTCAATGTCTTTCGATAAATCAAATCGAGACGTGAATTCGGTCCAGCAATTTCGATAAATGGATCTGTCCTCGATATTCAAAATCGATCAGTTTTATGACAAGCCTTACCATTCGTTAAATATCCACTTTGTATCCGACTATTCTATCGTGGTTGAATACTTGAAATATACGTTTATATATTCATGACACAATGATAAATCAGAACTTTATTTTACACGTGCTGTAAACAAAATAAATCAGATATCGTGCAGCACCCATAATACATTATCACCCATAATAATTATATATATTTTTGAAAATCTTGATAATCGGTTAATTATTATTAATATTATTAATATTATTAATGAAATATTAAAGTATTTTAATATAATTTTTGATATACTCAAATTATTTTCGGTTTATATATGTTAAAGATATTTTATCGCGCATAACAGACGATTTATAAATAAACAATTATCTGTATAAAAATAAAGAATAATGTAATACCTAAGACTAAGATAATCGTATTTTAAAATACACATATAAATTTCAAAAATATAAGCTTATTTGTATCAAAATGCGTGACATCTTCAGTTAGATTCCAGTCTCTCGATGTGTACCAGCTTAGAAACTTTGTCTATCAGATGTGTCAAATGAGTCTTATAATTTAGCGGAGCCACCGATGAACAGGTATGTCTCACTCTCATTTCATCCTGCAAAATACAGAAAATTTAAAATGTTTTTTTTGTTAAAATAATTGTCTTACATAAAGAAGTTATCAATGTTATGAGAAAAAAAATTATTATATAAATTAGAATTAAAAGTAATGAAATACTAATACGATAAAATGTTGAATCACTTACCTGAAAAACTTCTGATTTCGCCCTCAAACTGAACATGAATCTCTTGAAGTTTGCGTCGCCGAATTTTTGCATATAAGCTTCATTATCATTCTCCTTTAATTCTCCTAATTCTTGCGCTGACATGCCTAATATCTTCTCGGCATCTTCGCTGAAGGCAGTTATCCAGCGACTGCCTGTTGCATCCGCTATATTCATCTATGAAATTATTCAAGAAATTATAAAAAAATGAAACAAATTTCTAAAAATATCAAATATTAAATAAAAAGCAATACATACACTTGCTAGCAAGCGATATACAAAATTCGGATAATCTCTATTACACTTCTCACATCTGAATATTCCAGTAGATTGATCAATTAACTAAAATTGAATAGCATTTTATAATAATTCATGTAAACCTATTATTATCCTATTATTAATTATCTCATATACAATAATGTTATCTAATAAAATATTGAGAAAGATGTACAGTTTAATATACTAAAAAAAAAAAATTAATAAAAGAATTAAGTAATATATATATTTTGTTAGGAAATCTTCATTATTTTTTCCATCATTATCTAAATGATGTAACAATTATATAAAATATTATAATAATTTTGAGGAAGTTGTTTAAAATTATTTCTTCAAAACATAAAATTATTTATAAAATAAAAAGATATAAAGAGAGAAAATTAAGAATTTCCACTTTATAATTTCAAGTATGTTTTGCATATAACTCACCTTTTTCTTACAACTTTCTACAGGACATGCCTTGTAAATAGAATTTTCTACGCGAATTAAGCATATAGTGGCCATCACTGTATAACTATCTGGGATATTTAGTTTCTCTCCCAACCGTGCTTCGGTTGCCTCCTCGAAAGTGTGTAATGGCGCATTGAAATCACCACCACCACCTACTCTGGATAGTGATTTAGCATTCTCCGAATGACCGACTGTAGTATACCACCCACGCAATCTGAAATATACGTTGTACTCATGTAATGTATAATATACAAATTATTATTCTGTACTCTACATCTTATTTTTCAAACTGTCAAATACAATATATACTATCTTGGAAAAATTCAGGAGCATCAATTAAAATAAATATAGTAATTTATATATAATTAACATTAATTAATATTAAAAGTATTTTATAGAGGTTTAATAAATAAAATTTCCAACTAATACGAAATAAAACTTTTCTCCTGTTAACTTAGAATATATACAGGGTGTCCCAAAACCACCGCTTCATATTTTAAAGGTAGATTCTCTGACCAATTTAAAAACGATTTTTCCTCAGCGAAAATGTCGAGGCACTAATAGTTTTTCTAGTTATAAATGATTGAAAATAAAGGATTTTTTGCAAACTAAGCCTTATGGGAATAAATATTAATAAAGTCACATTCTTTAGTTAATTTTAGGTAGAGTTTATTTTAATATAATTTTAATTTAAGGCTTAGTTAGAAAGATACATGATGATAAAAATTGGGAATATGCAAAAAATAATGATCTCCTTCGACATTTTCATTGAGGAAAAATCGTTTTTAAATTGGCCAGAGAATCTACCTTTAAAATATGAAGTGAAGCGATAGTTTCGGGACATCCTGTATATATATATATATATATATATATATATATATATATATATATGTATATAAATTCTATATTAATAAACTCTCTAAACTGAAGGGAAATTCGGAAACAGTAAATCTAAATAAAATTGGGAAATTGTGATAAGTAAATTAATGTTAGCAAAAGATTATAGCTAATAAAGCTATTTTTAAAATGTAAATTATTTTAAAGTACATTTTATAATATTTAAATTTGTATTTATATATATACCTATGTGCTTCTGGTAAATCTGGATCCTTTTCAAGTGTGGATGAATTTAAAAGGGACAAATTCTTTCCGCCATTGAACTCTCCAATGCGTGCTCCTTTAATGGCTATGATCGGGTTATTAGAACCATCAAAATCTTCGGCCTGTTTTCCCCAAAGCGTAACGCTTACCTGACATATAAAAAGAAAATTATTTATTCGTTCCTAATAGTAAAATATTGAAATATGCTCATTCAGTAAATTGCTTACCATCGCATTGCTGTCGTCGACGATATTGATATCTCTCTTAACAAATTCTTGACCAGTATTTCGCTTTACGATATGTTGCACATCATTAAATGTTGTAACAACGCCCAATACATCTGTTACAAACACAACACACCATTATATATATAATATTACAATTTCCAAATTAATTGATAGTCATGTATCAATCTTATTTCATAAATTTAGCAGATCATTTATTATAACGTATTCTACAAAATTTTTTAATATAAAGTTAAAAGTATAATATAAAAGTGATTAACATCTAATAATGTAAAATATTTTATATTAAAATATTTATTATATTTAAGTAATTTTAGAAAAATAACAGAAAAGTTATTGAAACATATATAAGCATATATAAACACGAAACTTAAACAAATGATGTGAATTACACAAAAATAATTGAAGGTGTGATTGAAATATTTTCAAAACCGAAATAATTTTCTATAAATATTCTTAAATAAAATTAATAAGAATAATAAAGATAAGATTATTAAATTTAATAAAATGCTACAAGCACATTACCTATTATATCATTCCTTTCCTTGTTTTCCACTTGACTTATAGAACAAAAGTTGAATTGCAATGTCGGTATGTCTTCAATGTTTTCGTGACATGGCACGATCTCAGTATCATTGGTCATTGTCATCTCATAATCATTTTTTAATGAGTTGAACTGTTTATTCGCTGCCTTCAGCTGACATCGGGAGATATAGTATACATTTCCAATCTGTACAAATAAAATATTCTGTATAGCTCAATTCTTTGTAAAATTTAAAAAAAAAGATTCATCAATTTTAGTGATAAGAATTATGTGTATGTGTGTGTATACCTCCAGCATATCATAGAATTTATCGCACATATCTCTAAATGCGGTGCATCGAATTTCGCCGCTCTCATCAATCAGATCCATAGAGAATACTTTACCCTCCCCACGAGAATTGCTCCATGTTCTGATTGGAGATTTATTAGTCACACGAACTTTAATCACCCATCTAAACATAAGCAATCATTGATTTTCTTCTTTGGATATTTTTACATTTTTTTATAAATATATTTAAATATTGAATTTTTTTTTTTATCGTACTTGTTTTGGTAAGGACTTAATGCTGCAATCGGTGTAGTAGATATATCAGAAGAACCGTAATTATTTGAATTGCTTCTTTGAGCTGTACCATCTATTACAAACAAACCAGATTTTATATTTAACAAGTGTCAAGAAAAAATAAAATACACTTTATAAACTATTATATTTATAACTATTCCTTTGAAAATAATAATGACGTAATTACTAGTTTGATAACGTCCAGTAGTTTGTCCAGTAGATTTATCAGCTGTAGTTGAATCAGCTTCTGACTTGCTCTCTATATTAGTTGGATTTCCTAGTTTACATCCAACTTTGCTGCCAGGAGTTGTTACCTCGATACCCATTATTAGTATCACACGTCTAATAAAATAAGTAGAAATATATATTTGATTTTTGTATTATTTATACATTTTAGTATACAAAATATATAAAATATGCAACAAATACTTTTCTTTGCCACCACTGTTCACCGAAGACAGATGATAGTTTGAGACTTTGCAGATTGCATATTCAGTCAAAATATTATTTTCTATCAGGTGATTTAATTGAGTAGCCAACATTGTAAACGAATTCATGTTTTTTCCATCAGAAACAAGTAATCTATATCGATCATTACCAATTGTACCATCTTTATTTGGTAGTTTTTTATAACCCTGCAAAATTAGAATTAATGTTAAGATTAAATTCCATAAAATTAAAAGCTGATCGTGTCTAAAATATTTTCCTGAATTCTTAAGAATAAAGCTAAGCAGAATGCTTCATGAAATCTTTCTTGCATATAAATCTTTGTAAGAACCTAATTACATGACGATTCTTTGGTTCAATATTATACAAAAATAACATTTATATTTTTAAAGTATTACAGCTTTTTTTAATTTTTTTTTATTCATATATAAAAACATGTTAAGAAACAAGCCTTGAACTGTCCATTGCTATTCAATACTCACCAACATTTGAAATACCGGCTTGTCTACATCTACGCCTTTCATGATTTTCTAAAACGATCAAATGTCACGGTTAGACAATATTCTACATAATAACGATACACTTCAGACAAATTTACCTCTAACGCTCCTTCCGTTAAGCCGTACATGTTTGCTGACATCATCTCGACAATTATTTCTTGATACTGCGTGTCTTTTGCGTCTCTCAATGGCCGAGTATCGACGATATATGCGTATATACTCTGAGCTTCCCGCCTAATTGTCCGATCTTGACGTAATTGACAGGTTTGCGTTCCACAAACTCTCCGCGAAAGGTTCAGCATTACTACAGTTTATTCAAAGTTTTTTATTGGACAGCCAATCATGTGAAGCTTGAAGCGTTTGATTGACCAATCAGATTAAAGAAATCTTTATTTCTTTTGTCCTGATTGGTCAAACGCTTCAAAGCATCCAGAGTGTCTTCTCGACCGCAACCAATGCGACAATAGGTGCTTTCCATTTAGCGACACAAATCGACACAAGTGTCATTCTATCTTCGTTTATTGTTATTTATTGAAAAAAGATAGAATGACGCTTGTGTCGACTTGTGTCGCTAAATGGAAAGCACCCAATATGGGTACTTTCCGATTCACGCATGATGCGCATGAGATGACAGAAAATGTATAGTTCATGTCACGCATATTATACATTTTCTGTCACTTCATGCGCATCATGCGTGAATCGGAAAATACCCTATGTTTCCTAGAAAGCTCTCTTTGATTGGTCAATCGCTTCAGAATTTTCTTAAGCCTTAAAAGATTGAGCAATCACAGTCAAGTATAAAAAGAATACTCGGCTGTGATTGGTCGATTTCTTAAGGCTTAGGGCTTAAATTATCCATTGTAGATCGGGACTATCTATTGTAGATCCCGCAGCCAATCAATGTGCTCAAAAAATTTGTCGTACAACAAATGTAAGGCCGGGTCTACAATAGATAATTTAAGCCCTAAGCCTTAAGAAATTGACCAATCACAGTCGAGTATGAAGAGAATACTCGACTGTGATTGGTCAATTTCTTAAGGCTTAGGCCCGTTCCAACAGTGGCCAGTTAGCTTAACTAGTAGTTAAGTAGTGATTCCAACCACTGAAACAAAATTCAGTAAGCTAGGTTAGATTTTGACAAGTTGCATTTTCACAAAATATACATAAGTGAAATATTGAAAATTTATAAGATTAATGGATTAAAAATTGTAACTCAAGAAATTGACCAATCACAGTCGTAAGTCGTAGGCAAATTGACCAATCATGGTTGATTATTTCAAAAATAACCAACCATGATTGGTCAATTTGCCTACGATTTACGACTGTGATTGGTCAATTTCTTGAGTTACAATTTTTAATCCATTAATCCTACTGCCATTGTGGACGGCGCTTTAGCCTAAAGACGGAAGCCGCACGTGCTGCCTGCCGCCGAACCGGAAGTCGAGTCGCGAACAGCCGCGTGACGCAATCGTTTCACTCTCGAGCCGAACGCAGCGTTCCCTCCACTTGATTACATCGTTTTCTTGTTTCATCTCTGCGTTCGATCTCCCGTCAACATGAATGGTATTGTAAGGAGCGCGGTACGCACTTCGGCTCTACGCGGCGTGCTCTCGTCGATGACATCGACGTCGTCGTCGTCGTCGTCGTCCATCGCCGGTCAACCCGTCAGAGCGCTATGGAACATGTGCGAGAGTCGGCGAACCGCCGAAATCACGCCGCTCGTCTCCTCCTTCAAGTTGCACGACTTCCACGCTCGCAGATGCTACAGCAGATCGCATACGAAAGGTATCGACTCGCTGACGAAGATGTCGTACGAAGGGTTTCGGGAATTCGATCAGACTTTGGGACTGTCGTCCATATTTACCGCGTTGCTTTGAATACAAATGTTTAACTTGCAAATGTAAATTTGATCAAGATTGGTAAATTATAACTTGAACCGATTAACTACTTATAAATTCAATTAGAGGCAAATTTGGATTAGTTCTTTATACATATTTCAATAAATTTACAATTGTGATTATTGTGATATAATATTTATTTTCTTATGTTTTCTCTTTCATAAATTATATATTTATTATACATTTATTATATATTAATTATATATATTTATTATATATATTTATTTACTTTATTATAAATTTTGCCTAATTTCTTGAATATTTCAAAGCTTCTCGCATTTTTGGAATTTAAATTTAAATTTATGCTTCATGTGCTGTAAACTTTAATTGTGTTTAATTAAAATTATCAATAAATATATATTTTGTTTAATAGAATAGAAATATCTAAATTTTATGTTATACAATATATCATTCATATATTAATCGCTAAAGTATATGGATATACTTTTATTTATTTTTTTAATAATTATATTTTTGTTTTATTAGCGGAGAAAGAATTAGTAGAATTTCTTGCCGAGGAAATAGTAGCAGAGAAAAAGGCACAAAAGTTAAAGACAATTCCAACAACATTAGATGGATTCGCAGTATCTTTGAATGGTGCTGAGGTTAATCTTGAAAAACAAGATGGCACTGATAAGTAAGATTTTTTATTATATTTGATATATGTCTCGCATTTAAGATATAGACTCATATGACTTGTATTATTCCTCTGCAGAATTCATATTTCCTTTAATGTGAATCATACGGTGGATGCTGACGCCGAAGCGGATGTTGATCCACGTCAAGATGATGTAGAGCTTGGTGAAATGAAGAGCAAGCCGACATTTACAGTAGATATAATTAGGGGCAATCAAACTTTGGGCTTTACATGTTCCTTTAATAACCAACCTGGCGCATCAGGCGCTGATGATAGCTACAGTATGTATATCTACTGTAATAATTTTTTTATTCCAAAGTGTTGAGTACAGGATGGCCTTTGTTTTGGTTATCTTGATAATTATTCTTTGGTATATAAAAACACTTTCATGTACATACATTGTGTTATGATTTGATATCACTCATGAAATTTTGAAAGTGTAACACTTTAATTCATTGTATTTATTTCCTTGTTTTTTTTATAACATTATATGCTTATATAAATACATATTTTATTACAGATGACATTTTTGGCATTGATGAAATTACATTGTACGAGGGAGAACACAGTGAGAGAGTGTATTCTGTGGCTGGTGAGATCCTTGATGGTGTAAGTATTATTATTCTAACATGAGACATTTACTCTCTAGAATAAGACATTTATATATTAAAATAATTGTTATTAATAATTAAATACATTATAATAATCAATTTTATATAATAATAATTTTATATAATAATAATAATCAATTTTATATAATAATAAATATCTAATATATTAAATCAAGTATCAAATACAAAGCATGACAATTATCTTGATTATAAATCTGTGAACATAATCATAGATATTCTTGTAAAATTAAAAACTAATTAAGGACATAATTTCTTAGGATATTTCAAAATATTGACTTTCAATTGTTTTAATATCTCATTGATTTGTTTACTTCAATAATACTAATCTTAATATTTACATAGACATTTATATTGTACATATTCAGTTTTTTATTAATAAAATAAATTAGATAATTGAATCATTGATAAAGCACTGTTTATTTTGCAGTATCTGTATGATCTACTGATGAACTATCTTGAAGAGAAAGGGATCTCGAACGAGTTTGCAGATAAGCTAATTGACTTAAGCACATGTTATGAACACACAGCATATGTCAGTTTGCTAGAGGGCTTGTCAAAATTCACATCGGGAAAATAATTCTAAGATTTTAATGTTAAGATTTTTCTTGCGATCTACGTCATCATAGTTGTACGCTTTATTGTTAATAAACAATGTATTGATGACATTCTAATGAAATAGAAAAATACATTGAAAATATGATAATATGACCTTTATTCTTTTAGAAAAGAAAAGAAAATTTCCTGTTACACGAGACAGTATTATATAAAATATTAGATTTAAAAATATATTTCAGAGAATCATAGAATTCTTTGTATCTTTTTATTCCTTTAGCTTTTGCTCATTTCAACATATACCAAAAGCATATGACTACTCCTTATTCTAGCATCATGAGATAAGTTGATCAAAGTCCATTGTACATCTTCATTATTCATAACACATTATTCCATGAATGACTAATTTATTTTATGGATAATTTCTTAAAGAGGAGGGAAGAGATTTTCTTTTCAGAAGTCCTAGAAATACAAATGTAAGTAAAAAAAGATGCAATCAAGAGGAAGAAAAAAAGGAGAGAAGAGGGGTTATCGGTTCCAGGATTCGCCGCTGAGGCGTAATCGCAGCGGGGCGGAAAGATGGACCAAGATGGACGCGATCAGACGCAATTAGGAGAAGGAAAGCTCGCGGAGGCGGCGAGTGACGACGTAGAGAGTCAGCTGAGACGGAGCGGCAGAGTCCCGGATGCCCGTCCACCGTGATCGTCGTCGTCATCGCGCGAGACCTGACGAGAATGTCGTGCCGCGATCCCGACAATCTTATGGTGAGCACGAGCGACGACGACGAGAGGTTCGACTACCTGTTCAAGATCGTGCTGATCGGCGACTGCGGCACGGGCAAGACCTGCGTCGTCCAGCGCTTCAGGTCCGGCACGTTCGTCGAACGTCACGGCAACACCATCGGCGTCGACTTTACCATGAAGACCGTCCTCATAGACGGCAAGAGAATCAAGGTGCGAGACGCCAGTTTAACCTCCTCGAATCGTCCTCTGATCTATGATCTGATATCTGATCAATCATTTGTCACTTGCTAACTTTCAGCGGCTTTTTGACGGGAACGGAGAACAATTTGGCACAGTAACAAGAACAGAGAACTGTCTTTTGAACTCCACTTTTAAATGCGGGTTTCTTGCTTTTTCTTATTGTTTTCATTTGAAAAAGAAGATTTGGAAGGAAAAAATGTTTTTATAGACAGAAATCTTTGCTATGAGCTTTTTTTTTAAACAAATCTTGTTCCATTTTATCTTGGATATTTAATTCAATTTTAATGTCTTCAAATTGCCTTTAGCAATTAACTAGCAATATTTTCTTTGAAATGTTAAATTTATTTTTTGCAAGCTTATAATGTTCTCTGTAAAATAACTTATCGGTTAAACATACATCTAATAAATTAGATAAGACAATCTCAATAGATGTTTGTTTTTATTTGATTGAATTTAATGATGATTGAAGTTTTTGATTTTTTATTATTGACAGCTACAAATTTGGGATACTGCGGGACAAGAAAGATTCCGAACGATAACTCAAAGTTACTATAGATGTGCAAATGGGGTAATTGTAGGTATGTAAACAAATCATAATGCATATACACAAAATTCTATAATTTCTTGCTTTAAATGTATTAATCTTTATAAAAAAAAATCAATTTATACAATTCATTAATTGTTTTGTTAAATTATTAACAAATATTTTCCTCTTTTTATATGGCTTTTTTTTTGTTATTGAAAAACAAGATATGTGATATCTTTTTAAGACTGTTTTATGAATATTTTAGTTTACGATATTACAAAGCGATCAACATTTTTAAGTTTGCAACGTTGGGTGGAAGAAGTCCGGAGATATTCATCGTCACATGTACTATTAGTGTTAGTTGGTATGATCATTTTATATAAATTACAATATATTGTAATAACATTTCTGTTATTATTCTGCATATTTCTTGTTTTGCAGGTAACAAATGCGACTTGGAAAATCTGCGAGAAGTGCAGAAGGCAGAGGCTGAAGCTCTATGCGAATATCTGCCTGAAGTTTTGCACGTAGTGGAAACCTCAGCCAAAGATAATACAAATATAGATTCCATTTTTTTCTATCTGGCATCTGAACTTAAGGTAAATTTATCTTTTATTATATAATTTTGTTATTAATTAAATATATTATCTTTCTTTACTTATTTGTGACTAAATTACGCTTTTAGAGACGACACGATAACCGTCAGATTAGCGCGAACGATGACGATGTAGTGAAACTAGGTGCCGGACGAGATCTGTCTTCTTGTTCAGGCTGTCCAGGCTATAAAATCTTTTGAATCGTTTATATTTCTTTTCCATCGACGCGTACCGTTTTTGGATGACTCAGATATTCATAAACGTTTTAGTAATAAGGTAAAAGACAGTCGATGAACAAATATATTATCTAGTGAGAAATTGTTACAATATAAATTTTTTACTACTCTCTAAGATTGAAAAATTAGAAATCACAGTATATAAAAGATTCATAAGGCAATTTTTGGCGACAGTTTGGTACCAAGGTTGTTATTGATAGAGGCGGAGTTTATTCTGGTGCATAATCATCATATACCATGTTTCATTACTTGGTATAGCATTGCATCAACCAGCTAGATACTAAAACTGCTAGTTTCTATCACAAACTATCAAACGTGAAAATGTTCTGGTAGAATTTGATATATTTTGGTTGGTATGCCACTGTTACGCCAAAAATCACCTATTGTTTAAACTTCTTACAAAAATGTTACTGTCTTTTATCTTATTCATAACTATACATACAAGTTAAAATATATCTCCAGAAACTAGAACAATCAATGTCACTCTAATGATATAGAAGAAAATTTATATGCCAAATTTACACAAAAGAAATTCTCTTTTTATTTTAATAGAACGAACATTGGCTTTTCTAGTCTGAAAGATACAAATCTCATATTAAAGATATCATTTTTAAAATAGGATAGCTCATTTTTTTACTCTAAAAGCTCATAGTTCCAGAAAGAGCATGTTTGTAGTATATTTTTATATTCGTTTTAACAAACACAGGTACAAATTTATATATACGCACGTACATATTGATACTTTACAAATATTGTGACAACCTGAAGAGATCCTTAACATCCTTGTGCCTTAAAAATTCGTAGTAAATGTCACATGTTCTCTCATAACGAGCGCACAGATATAAGCGAAGTGCAATCGAGAATATCACGAGAGATTAAATTGTTAATAGTATAATTCAATTCTTTCCTGTTTCTTTATTTATTTAATTTATTTATTCGCATGAATGTTACGGCGAATGCGAAGGTTTAGCTTCTCGATCGCCAAGCACCCATTCGAATTACAAGGTTGTAAATATTTATCCTTAGTCATACATTCTCAGCGCACGTTTCACGTTGAGAAGTAGTTGTCTCGTTCTCAGCCTTTGATCAATTTAAATGATTGCACTCGCCGCTAGCGCATTGAGAATGCAAATATAGAACGCGTCTTGTGACTAGACAGACGCAGTTGTGTTATTTATGAACGAACAAATATAACGAATCTCTATAATAGCACTTAAATAAAAATCACTGTAATGTATATTTTTTAAAATACTTATATTACACATAAGTATACGTGCATACGTGCGTATTATAATACTCATTGGGAGTCAAAATCATTATTTTATATATCAAAGTAAAATACGTCAAAAAATAACATACGTAATCCAGGAGGACGTAAATCTCTATTGCCTTATGCGCAAATATTGCCAAAACGTACGAAAAGTGTTCTCACAATTTAAGATCTTTGTTAATTTGCATAAATATGCATACATATCTCTCTCATTGTATAGATCTTTCATATAACATAAAAATATTTCCCCGAAACATAAGAAGCAATCTCATCTTCCATTGCACTATCAATTAGGTAGAATTATCACTTGAATTATATGCGAAAACAGAAAATAATGTGAGATATAAATTTATATCATTTGAATATTATATATAATTATATATAATATATATGATACAAAGTAAAGTGGTGTAAAGAGAATTGTCATAAAATAATTAAACTCTTTTGTATTATATATAAATACAATTGGAAAATATATATTTCGCTAAAAAAGATACACATGATATGCAATGTAATGATAATAGCTTTGTTGTGATTTTGATGACAGACTTTATTATATTGCGTTTGATACATCGGAAATATCATATATTGTTAAAATTCTATAATTTGTAATAAATAAATTGTTTTTGTACTTGTCGCAAGTCTTTTAGAAATTGATTGTTGTCAACCAATCAATTGGCTTCAGCTTTGTTACATATTAATAAACATTATGCGATTGATTTTATACAAAATGTACGCATTAATTATACTATTTTATACATAACGAATTTTTTCGATAAATTGCATGTTAAAATATTGATATTTATCACAATAAACTGAGATTCTCTAACTGTAACTTTCTACGAGATATTTTTTAAGCAGAAAATTAGTTTATTTTTTTATTATACTCTTTATTTATATGTTAATTCTCATTTCAGAATCTCAATTCCTTTATTGCATTCGGGATAATTATTAATAAGTATCTCACTCGACTGATAGGAAAATGTACATTAATAATTCAAAAAATGTTTTTTTAAAAACATTTTTTCTTTATTTCAAAGTTGTTTATTTCAGTATAAACGAACATGCTGACTAGCATATACGTATGTAAATGACATTATAAGGCCATACATGATGAATTGCAAATATAAGGCCATATGCGTATCGTGTAAACTCTCAGTATACAGAATACTAACTATAATAATATTTATTTGGTTTTATTGCATAAAGATAATACTTTATTGCAGATTTAACAGACGTATAAATCAAAAAAAATAAAACGAGGTAGAGAAGACATAATTCAACCTAACATTCGTTTATATACTTGAAGAGATTGATCGCACATTGAAAAACATACAAACTGATATATAAATATATAAATCTGGGGAAAATTAATTTTCCTTTAATAAATTATTATATATATACACATGTATATGTATTATTATTTAATAAAAATTAAGATGTCTATAGTTAATCTGCTTCTATTGCAGTTGTACAATATAAAGAATCTTAAATGTCAGTACCAAAGGTGAAATAACATCTCAGCTTATATATCGTATATTTTTTAAACGAGCTGCAAATAGCACACAAGTACACGAATGTATAAAAAATTCCTCTATTTTTTCTCTATTATATATAACAGTCTGTATAAGGCACTTTGCGCAATGCTACTTCCTATGTCACAATGCAATTATGCCATTATAATAAAAAAAATAGATATATAAATATCATCAAACTATAACATGATTGATAAGCTTCGGCGAATTATATATTATATTTAAAAGCATATTCGCGTAATTGACGATGTAAGGAACAACTGACGTTGCATAAAAGTTACCCTGTGTAAATTAGCGAACAAGATACACAGATAAATTTGTTCATCAAAATATTTTTCATTAAAATTATATAAAGGAGAGCGTCTAAGAAATTTTCTATTAATGTTTTGTCCGATACGATGTATATGTGTATATATATATATATATATATATATATATATATATATATATATATATATGACTACAATTCATGTCATCCTTAATCGGGTTCAATAACATGTAAGGCAATTGTAGCCAATCATAATCATTTTATTCTTTAGAGAAATGGTTGTGATAGGCCAATCTTAAAAGTACGGATGTTACCCGTATTTGAACCCGATTAAAGGTGACATAGTTTGTATAATCTGATATACGTATGTATAACAAGCTCTGCGTTATTTATATTCTTAAATAATATTACAAATTCGATTGCTATTTGGGTCATTGCGTTTAGGAATCGTATTAAATAATTCGCAATAATTAGATTCGCATTTTAATGTGCGGCAAAATTAATAATATTAATATATATATATAATAAACAAGAAAAAGATCAGGAAGACTCAGATTGGATAAATTTTTGATAGGGCATTTCTGACACATCCGACAATATTATAAAATTGCTGCAACAGCAATTGAAGCTTGTGTCAAACAAAACCTTATGCCTTTTATTTGATATATTTTTGTGAAAAGAAAAAATATATATAGTATATATTAATATGTATATTAATATATATATTAATATATATATTAATATATATATATTTTTTTTACTATAAATAACCCTAAACCTTTTAGTTCATATAGGCCGTTTTCATACTCTCTTATAAGTTCTCCTGTATTTTTCGTCCACCTGGGTCAAGTAATACGTTCCTGGAAACATGTTGTCTATACTACTCTCCGGGGTGAATGGCACAATGTGACAATTATGTTCCCTCGCCGCCAACACCCTGGTATAATCCGCCGGGGAGACGCGATGACGTCCCTCCAATTGCGGCTTGACGTAAGAGAGAGCAGTGATGATCTTGGACAGGCCGGAACCGTCCCGCGTGTCCCTCGTCACCGTCAACGAGTACATGCTGGAGCAGAGACCCGAGCCGTAGGAGAACACGCCGATCTTGTTACCGGCCAATTCACTTATCGGCTTCGATATGAGTAACGACACTAAACCGGAGTAGACCGACGGGGTGTACATATTTCCGACCTGATTCGCCAACAACAAGCTGGGCCGGGTCTTTTGCTCAAAGTCCACCTTGCTCAGTTGCACGAAAACCTTCTCGACGTCCCGGTCGAAGTAGGTGTCCTCGAGTTTGCTGGCGTGGAAGCTCGCCGCGTCCTTGTAGCGGTCGCCGAGCCGATCCTTGGGCGTGTTGAGGAAGTCGACGAAGGCCAGCCGGGCGAAGGACTTCTGCACGAGCTTGCAGTAGGGCGAGTGGAAGAGGAACGCGTCGAAGCTGGCCAACGTCACGGGCTCGCTGACGGGATCCCTCTCCCTGACCTTGTCGCAGTACAGCTGATAACAGCTGTCAAGAGCGCTCAAGTAACACTTAATAGATAGCTTGCCGTCCACGGTTGGGTACTCGGAGCGCAGATTCGGCTTGTAGAAGTCGTACGCGTGCCGCATGCAGGACGCGCGGAGGCCTCGGTCGAACACGAGCGGCGCGTCCGGACCCACCAGGATGGCGATCGCGCCCGCGCCGCCAGTAGGCCTGGCGCTGCCCGCCTCGTACACAGCGTTGTCGGCCGCGACGACCAGGGCGAGCCTGCCGTCCCAGGCGCTGCTCTCCACCCAGGCAACGGCGTTGAAGAGAGCGGCGGTGCCGCCGTAGCAGGCGTTGGTGGTGTCGGCGCCCTCGACGTCGGTGCAGCCGTGCGGCTCGAACAGCTGCATCAGCACGGACTTGACCGACTTACTCTTGTCGAGGATAGTCTCGGTGCCCACCTCGAGTCGACCGATGTCCCGGGGCTCGATCCCGTGACGCTCCAGCAGCCGGTGCGACACCGTCAGGCACAGCGAATTGATGTCCTCGCGGTCGTCGCAGAACCCCATCCGCGACTGGCCGAGACCGACCGTGTACTTGCCCGCGGAAACGCCGTCGTGCGCCTCCAGCTCCGTCTGCTCCACGTACTGCGCCGGGAAGTACACCTCCAGCGCCCGGATACCCACGTCCTTCGGCCACATCTCGGTTGGACCCTCGAGTCGAAGATTATCGGGAGCGATCGAACGTCAGTTTCCCTCGCGAGAGGAGGTTTATGTAATCACCTGAAAGAGCGGTCGCCTATCGAGAGGACTGAGATCTGAATTAATTGTCGGGCTTGAAGTCCACGACTAGTCCGCGAATCAGAATTCCTGCGTTCCGAATCGCACATACGTACGTATATACGGCTCCTCGACGCTCCTAAGCTCGTCAGAGCTGGCCGAGTCGTCGGTTGATACGAGGGGACACACACAGGCGCGCGCGCAAACGCGTCGTATTCAGGTTAGAAGTGAAACTCGGGGCTCGGTGAAAATTCCGGTCGTTCGCCGCTGCCGTCGTCGGGTGACTTTCGATTGCGTGCTTTGGAGTCCTCCGTTCCGTTAAGTCGATCGGCCGGTCGGCCAGCGCGTCGCTCGCGTCTCTAGTCACGTGGTCCACGCGACACGTGTCAGTGTCGACGGCCCAGCTGTCGCGAGCGAAATGCATGCGCGGTGCGCTCGCGCCGCGTCTTATTGTCAGTTGTGTCAAAAGCGTACAAGGGGGGGAAGAGTAGAGAGGTGGTAGGGAAAGGGGGCGAAAGAAGGGCAAGGTTCGCCGATGGTAGATTCATTCGTTAAATTTACATGACAATCCGTGCGTCTTGTTACGTCGAGAACTTGCTAATAATTGAAACGGATGTGTACAATAGACGACGATGATACGTCGAGATTCGCGTGACTTCTGAATTGGACGGTCCGCATGTTCACATGCAGAAAATGCATACGTTGTGTATCTCCGACGTCATTTCGGCGCGACGGGCAGATTGGATTGGATCAACGGGGTCATTGGGTCGTGACGAATAATGTCATGTCGTCTGCCGTCATAATCATTTTAAATTAAGATATTGGAAGGGAAAAAATCATATAAACTTTTTTCCTTCGCGCCAAATGTCCCTCGAGATGAATTGGATTTCTTTTCTTATTTTTCTTTACGTCACATTGTATTCGATGTTTGTCATTAATGTGGATTAATAAAATGTGCCAAAATCTTTCCCCTTTTATTATCTTGCACTAGTAAGTGTCAATTTCTCCAAAGGATTCCTGTGAAATAGTCCCAATTGAACTTTATTAACCGCTCAATTTCAAATAACTTTCCAGATAGCAATCACACGTCAATTTGACGTTCCAAACTGATCATTTCCGGTTATATATCGTTAAAATAATTTGTTACATGACTTTATATTGACGTCTTCATATAATATTATTTTGACGTCATATTTTAGTCATGAACTGACGATTATTTTATTATTAATGTGATTAGTTAGTAATCTTAGTAATTTTAAAAATTTTTTTATGTAACATGACTTTCGCGATCAGACTTTAACAATTTTTCTATAAAATATTAGCAATCGAGTGTAATTAAAGTGCCAAAAAATATATTTTTTATAATAATATATTTTTAGAAATATAGTATATTTTTAAATAAATAATATATTTTTAAAAATATATTTTCTATAATTTTTTTATAATACAGTTGATTGACAAAATATATTTTTATAAAACGCAGGCAATGAAAGACATTATTTATTGAAATTTTATATGATATTAGAAATAAATTTTTTTATTTATGTTTAAATAAAATAACAAATATAAAACTTGTGATCGACAATTATTTTGAATCCGTTCCCAAAATATCATTTCTCACTGGATATGAATATCAAATACGAGATTCATGAACAAAATGTCTTGAATTTTTCGATAAATTCAATTTGTTTTCACAAGGAAAATGTAGTTTGTGCTGGAGACCAACTACGACCTGTTCAGCGTCCATCCGCCATTATTTGGCATAATGTTTGTTATTATTAATTAGAAGGATCTTGAAGAATGTGGTCGCTCTATAGCGTTGATTTTACGGAAGACCAGTTGGAAACCAGCATGCAATACACACGAATACCTCTACCGATAGGTCGACAGCCAGACGTCTAAGGATTCCACCTCTCTGGCAATTAGCATTGCATTCATTGAGCGAGATTCCAATATCGCTCTGGATTTGGAATCCTATATCTATATGTATTAAATAGCGATAGGTGTAAGGTCTGAATAGCTCAGTAGTTCAGAGCAGTTGTTCAGAAAGTGAAAAACTCGAGTTCGATTCCCAAGGCACTTGCGCCTTATAATTTAGCCCGCAAATATTGTTTTCTAGCAATTATTTATCGGGCTAAAAAGTGTGTGAATGCTCTACACACATGATGTGCCTCGATGCCGTTGCCAGGAATGAATTCTGGCGCTTATTGACATCTGACCTCTTCTGTCACGTATATCCCTATCTTTACTAGGAGATGCATTCGTAATGTTAAATGTCATCCTCACAATCATCCAGTATACGATCTTCTAACGAAAAAATAGTGTTCGATACAACAAGACATAATGGATGAATATTTGATAGTTAGTGAGCTGGTTCCTTATCACAATATCTATATCTCATTTAAATGAGGTATAGATGTTATGAATATAAGGATGCCAACGATATCAACAAGATTCGGTCCATTATGTCTTCTTATATTGAGCATTATTTTTTTCTCGTTAAAAGATCATATACTGGAATTTAAAAAAAAAGAAAATATGTAAAATCAAGTTGCTCATTTACATAATGATTTTGTATATGATAGGTCAAAACTTACTGATAAGCCAACCTCTGATTCTTCTATAAATTTTTTGTAGTAATTTTTTGTAGCCAATTGTAACATTGTAATATGATATTAAAAAAACGACAATGTATTAGAGTTTTACGCAATGACCATAATATATGCTTAGGTATGGAATAGAAGAACGATAAGCGGAACTAATCTCTATATCTCTGCGTCTCCAACAATTCCCCTTAATATCCTTCTATCCCATATCTAAGCCGATAAGAAGACGTTGAAGACTAATGTAGAAAGATCTTTTTGCGTAATCGTTTAATTTTATTTTCTGGCGAATATTTTAATGTGCTCGATCTCTCTCCGATACTCGACTTATGTGTTACTGGAGAAAGAAAGAAAGAAGAGGAAAGTTCTCGGTCCGATTATACATAATTCGTCCTCAGCCACTTGATCAATAAGCGGCCATTTAAAAGTCTGTCCATCTCTCACATCTCCCTCACATATATTCCTAACCAGATGCACATAAATCGTGCACTTGGCGATAGAATTGTATAAGGAAAGATGTATAAGGAAATTGTAAAATGTATAAGAAAATTTCATGGAAATATTTGAAATATAAATTATAGCGTAGATATAGTCATATCTCTGGAATAATAAACATATTGTGCTGAACTAATACTTGTGGCTGGAGTATATCTCATACCCTAATATCGCATAAAATTTTTATACCTTATCGGAATTTGAACCCGATCTCACATAGCAGCCATTTTGTCGCCTCAGCCACTCGCGGCCCCTTGGCCGTATTCGATATTTTATTGATGTAAAACGGATGTTATAATATGCTTCACTTAGTTCCTTCAGTAAGATAACTTATTTTACGACGGGTCGTACACACTCGCACACCACCGGCAAGATTAAATATTATGAGTTATAAAATTTAAACGATAATTTTTATTGGTCGTCGACAGAAACAACTTGATTATCGCTTCACTTCTCTTCAGTTTATAAAAAAAAAAAAAAGCTCAACTTTGGTTAAAAAAAAATGAAAATTTCATCGAATCGTAGAGAAAAATTTCTCGAATTTCTTTCGAAAAAATCACGTAATCTTTTTCAGCGCGTTTTATTTTAAATAATAATAATCTTTACAGAAAAATGCTTATGTTTATTTTTTTTTAAAGCCTATTTTATATGCAGGGATTATTTTACGCATAAATATTCTCAGATAGTAATCCTATTTCGCTTCTTTATGCATTTTTCAAATTAGATTTTTAATTATATCGGTAAAAGTTTCAAACTCGCGTTTCTTGTTGAAATGTAAATACATTTCAACAAGAATAGCGAGTTTAAAATGCATTTTTTATCAAGGTATTCAGTTGATGACGACAAACAAGTGAGAAATATGCACATATATGAATTCATGTATGAGAATCAAACATAAATATAATCATTACCGTCATTGGAAAAGCAAATTCGACTATTTTTTATAAAACAGCAAAAACGTGCAAAGAAGAAAACACAAAGTTAATATTGAACTTTTTATTGGACTTGAAAACTAGATATTTGTTTGTAAAATTTTGTTATCTATGCTGTTCAAATTTTGAATAATTCTTATCACGAAATATTTAATAGTTATATTATCATTAAACAGAAATTTATTTTTCAAAATAGATATATTATACTTCAGAATTTTTATGCAAACGAAATGAATGAAAAGTAAAACGTCAAATTGACAGATGAATAAGTTTCGATAAAAGACGAATAGATTGCAATTTAAATGAAAAAGAATTTTTTGTCCGCGCGTGTCAGACAATAATTATTTAAAACCAGTAGATTCTGCTAATAATATACAATAAATACGTGATATTTAGTTTTTATTTCAGTTTATAATTAATTAAAGAAATATACGTTTTCATTTTACTGTTATATTCATATTTAAATTTTATGTAACTTTTTTAATATATTTTTGTTAAGAAAATAAATATATATTATGTTTATTTTATGTAATACTTTATGTATTCATAATAAATCAGCAATATTTTTTTCATTGAATAATATACAATTAATTATCTAAAATAATATTTTCTTTCGATTTTATAAAATTTTTCTTACAAGATAAATCATTTGCGACAGAATTTAAGACAGAATTCTATTTATTATTCAAAGTGTTAAAAAAAACATTCAGCATTCATATTGTAGACAGTAGACATCGTATTTTAATTCGCAATTATGTAAGAAGAAGATGTCAAGTGTACATTGATAGGAAAATATATAAATATTAAATTCTTTCTTCTATAAATATTAAAATAAGGATTTGAAAAAATTATCTTTTTTCATATCGTAAAAGCCACTAAAGTAGTTATAGTCATATACAAAATTGTTTCTATTTCCGAAACAATGAGTTTTTGACCTATGCGTACCAAGACTTTTCTTGCGTCCACTATTTACCATATGAATGCTGAATTCTTTTTTCTAATATCCTGTATATGTAAAATTATGTATTTTTTTATATAAATATTTATATTACTATTATTATATTACTATTATTTTTCTATTTAATAAGTGTTTTTTATTTAATAAAATTAGAATTTTATTTTTGATTTCGTCATTAACTATTACTTATAGTCTAAATAAGATTATGGAAAACGACTTTTAATTTGTAGAAAGAAAAGCATTTGCAATATAATTAATTGATTCAAAATTGAAACTATATCGAAATGACAATCGAAGATATAATCGATCGATTATTAACAATTTATACCATTTCAATGCTGATTCGAAAAAATTGAGAATTTCAATTTTAATTAGTTCGACGTCACCATATATTTCTGACGGGGGAAAGAGGAATTATATAAAATAAATTTAAAATTTTGCGTATAAATTTTGCTATTTGTAAATTTATATTTATTATTGATAATAAAAAAATCACAATCAATTTAGATAATCTCAGACTAATTTTACGAAGCATATTCAAAAATAATAAGTCGATATTGTACGAAAATCTCATGTATTTTAGCTTTCTACTAGACATTAAAAGAAGTAAAAGTGAAGGGGATTCTATGAGAA